AAGGATGCCAGCTTAAACCATTTTCATTAAATATAGTATTAGAAGTCCTAACCAAAGAAATTAGGCAGGAAAAATAATATAAAAGGCATCTAAATTTTTAGCAAAAAGTAAAATTATTTCTCTTCACAGATGACATGATTCTGTTTTTGAGTCACGGTCTCACTGCATACCCAGATCAGCCCAAACTGGCCCTAATCTTCCAGCCTCAGCCTTCTGGGTGCTGGGATTACAGCCACAAGCCACCATACTAACTCCATACTAGAGATTTTATCCTGTGTAATCACGCAAGAAAAAATACATGAAAGGGACCCAGATTTGAAAAGAAGCAAAACTGTCATTATTTATAGTTAATATGATTGTCTTTGTAGAAAATTGGTTTAAATATTCTTGAAAGGTACTCATATCAAAAGAGTTTAGCAAGGCTACATGATGGCTGACCATTTAATTGGCATTATTAGCACTGTCTAACAAAAACAATTCTTTTTTGGGTGACACAGGATTTTGGTTTTTTTTTTTTGTTTTTTTTAAATCTCTGATTTATTTGAGCAGAGTTTTCTTCCTAGCCTCTTGGGCTGCTATTTATTTATTTATTTATATGTATTTATTTATTTTTTTTTTCATTTTTCTTTTATTATTCATATGTGCATACAAGGCTTGGTTCATTTCTCCCCCCTGCCCCCCCACCCCTTACCACCCACTCCACCCCCCTCCTGCTCCCCCCCCCAATACCCAGCAGAAACTATTTTGCCCTTATCTCTAATTTTGTTGTAGAGAGAGTATAAGCAATAATAGGAAGGAACAAGGGGTTTTGCTGGTTGAGATAAGGATAGCTATACAGGGCATTGACTCACATTGATTTCCTGTGCGTGGGTGTTACCTTCTAGGTTAATTCTTTTTGATCTAACCTTTTCTCTAGTTCCTGGTCCCCTTTTCCTATTAGCCTCAGTTGCAACTAGCTAGCATTTGTTGCCCTTAATGCAGAGAAACTAAAGCAGATACCTTAAAGTGACAGGATTTTTAAGTGAGGTTCTCATGCTTTCTGGGCAGGCACTTTATCACTTATTCCATGCCCCCAACCCTAAAAACAATCTTTTTTAAAAAAAGAAACATTGCTTTCTTCCATATATCCCCTGATACCTATGTACTGAATATATGGTGATGGCATTGACTGAACACTTCACTGAAAATTTCACTGACTGACAGATTACTAGCAAAAGATCATTAATATTGGATGTGAATGAGTATTTAAGGATCCTTAAATGCCATATTCTCTCTAAAATCAGGGATTCTGGCTTATGCTGCCAAATGTATTCCTTTAAGTTAGATCAATGATTCTCAAATATGGTCTCAGGCCAGCAAAATCAGCAACACCCATAATTTGTTAGCCATACAATTCTACAGCCTCTGCCTAGACTTATTGAGTCAGAAACTCTGGGATAGGGGCCCAGCAATCCGTTTTAATAGGCCTTTCAAATGATCCTGATACAAGCTCAAGTTTTAGTACCAGTTTAGAGGCAACAGCACCATTAAACTGACATCAATTTTTATGACTTTCTTGGTAATTCCACCCCAAAATATTCCATAATTTTAAGAACTAATGCCAAGAAGAAAGAGGAAAATTGACCATAGAATTTACATATCAGTTGTTGAGCTATAATTTTTGTTAGATTAATAAGTAGAACACTCTGACTAAAAGAGTGATCAAAAATGAAGAACAGTTGATAAATATTAATTTATTCCATCCCACATATTTTCAAGATGTATGCTAGCTATGAATGACCTTTGGCTAGTATGACCTGTGAAAGAGATAGTAATGGAAGCCAGCTTTGTCTTGGCAGCATTTGCCTTGGACAATGAAATATGGTTGTGTCTTTGTGGAATTAATATCTGTTTTGATAGAATGAAACACTGAAAGGATGGTCATATCATTTCTATTCCTAAAAATTTGACAGTTCATTATCTATAATGAAAATGTAATAGTGACTACATCTGAAGAAAGCAACATGCCTATATGACTAAACTCTAAGAGAAGCATTACATTATGTCAGATGAAAGTTAATGTGGTTTTGAATTGTCATCAAAGGCTTGTCAAATGAAGAATATCACATTATATTCTCCCTATATTGCTTTTTGTTTTTATTGTGGTGTATTATTTCATAGCTTTGTAAAGTTTATGACCTAAATTTTAGATTAATAAATGAGAATTATAATCCTTCCATAATAACCACTATATAAATTATGTCACTCAGCTTTTAATGAATTTATGCACTCATCTTGAAAATTGTGAGTACCTAATATATAGTAGGCAAAAGAGGACAAAACTGATAAAGGCCCACCCTCTCATCAAAGACCTATCAGGCTGGTTAAGAGGGCAGATATTTAAATAGACAAAGGCAATGCAGTATAATATATATGCTGTATTAGATATGCACAAAAATTTCCATTTAAAACAGAATGGCGCTTAATTCACCTTAGGAAGGAGTACCAGGGCAACATTGAGATTTAGTATTCCAGGTGATGTTTCAAAAGCTACTGAAAACTTTTAAGTATAGACTATGATAGAATTAATTAATGTTTTTGGAAGATCATTCTACGCCACAGTATTGAATATAGATTTGAGAGTGGTAAGACTGGTAGCATAGATGATCATTATAAATACATTACCATGACTTGGCACAGTGGCACACACCTGTAGCCCCAGCTCTTTGGGAGGCTGAGGTAGAAGAATCATACATTTGAGGCTAGCCTGGGCTAAATATGCAAAATAAAAAGACCCTGTCTCAAAAAAATGTGTGTATCTATATATAGATATAAACTGTAGTCTGGTGACAAATTATTATATTTTGAGTGAAGCTAGCCATGCTGGGGATGAAGTACTGTTGGGTGTAAGAGGTGATGTTCTAATAGGACTTGATCACAGAAAGGATGTGGGGACCATGAACAACTTTCTTTTTCCTATAGAGAACTGATACAAGATGATATGGTTGTAGTGCCCTACCCAAAGAGATTGGTGCTAATGGCTTTTCGAGAGTCATTCAGATACAAAAAAAAAGAACTTTGCAAGTTTGCCTTAAAATTTTCCAGTGATATATTTGTTTCTTACATGAGGAATTAGCCATGATTTTTTTAAAAAAATTACTTACACTGTTATTTTAAATGCAGACTTTAACATTAGATATTTACCACAGTAATGTGAATTGTTCATTCATTCAGAAGCACAAAAAACATGTTCACAAACCATATAAGCTACATTGGGAAGTTTCTTTCAATTCATAACTGAAGAATATCTAGTATAAGTATTTACCACAGTAATGTGAATTGTTCATTCATTCAGAAGCACAAAAAACATGTTCACAAACCATATAAGCTACATTGGGAAGTTTCTTTCAATTCATAACTGAAGAATATCTAGTGTAAGTATTTACCACAGTAATGTGAATTGTTCATTCATTCAGAAGCACAAAAAACATGTTCACAAACAATATAAGCTACATTGGGAAGTTTCTTTCAGTTCATAACTGAAGAATATCTAGTGTAAGTGAAATTGTGACTTGTATAATTTCTTGCCAAAATTTAAGAATTCATTATTAACTATTGCTTAATTCATAGAAAGGAACTGATAGTAACAGATCATTCTGTTTTAATGGTACTTACTGGGCTTTCCATTTCTATACATATAATCAATATACACACTGAAAATCTTCAGGAATGAAAGATATTCTGTCCTGCAGTTATGCTTGTCATTGGGACCATGATTTCCCAAAAAATGATTGTTTTTATAAATAATAACTAAAGCATATATATATGTCACTTGGGCTTCTGGTTTCTTTGTTTTCCTTCTTTATACTCCCTCTATTGCTCCCTTATTCTGTCTGGACTTGAAAATAGCTCCTAAAATTGAAGCTATTTTAAGTATGAATTGAATTTTTGAAAACCTTAAATCTTCATAAAAGTAAGGTTACCAAACATTAACAAAAGTTACTCCTAAAAGTATGTCTGTGTTATTAAATTTACTAAGGTTGTTTATACCAGAGAGAATGCAGTCCTTGGGAAACACACAGAGAAGTCAGTCACGATGTGTGCTGTGTGCGAGGTAAATATGAACAGACTTCAGGGAGATTAAAGAAAAGCTACAGTGAGGAGTAGAGGGGAGCTAGGTCACCGAGCTGATTTTTTTGGTGGGGCCTTCATTCGTTTTTTTATTTAAAGAAACAAACAAAGACATGGATGAGATTGGAAATTTGAACACCAAATGCTTATTTGATGATATTACAGAAAAATTAATTTTTGGAAGTGATATAGTAAGGTCTAAGTTTAATTAATTAATTATTTTTCTTCTGAGCTGACTTCGTTGAGCTTTTTCCTGGTAAATCGGTGGAGGTGGTCGCACAGGGCCCCCACGCAGCCCGCACGCTGACCCCACGCTGACCCCACGCGCTGACCCCACGCGCTGACCCCACGCGCTAACCTCCATCACTGTGAGTCACAGCCAACGGCCTCACCATACCTGCACCCCAGGGTGGCAGAGTGTGAGATGTGGGCGTCGGTGGCCTCCGAGAGCGGCGAGCTGCCTGAGGACGAAGCTTTGGCCTCCCCGCGCAGCAGCAACACCAGCAGTGGCCGCGGTGGCTTTCGCCCAGCAGAGCGATGGTGTGGTCCAGGCAGCGCCAACGGGATGGCGATGATGCCCGCGACGGAGCCTGTGCCAGCTGTGGGCGGTGAGCAGCAGCAAGAGGAGGAGGAGGAGGGGCAGGAGGATGGTGGCCCGAGCCACAGGTGCCCCCTGAGGAGGAGGAGGAAGAGCAGGGGAAGACATAGAGGAGTGGCAGCCTGTTGCCCAGTGGGTGCCGGTCAGCTCCTCGCAGCAGCAGCAGCAGCAGCAGCGGCAGCAGCAGCAGCAGCCGCAGCAGCCCCGCCAGAGTAGCCATGGCGATGGTGGAGAAGCGAACGACGCCTCTGGAGGCAGCCCCCAGCAGAGGAGAGAGCAGAACGTGCTGATGGAGACCATGGCTCTCAAGCGCATTCACAAGGAGCTGCTGGAGATGGAGCTCGACCCGCCGGCACAGTGCTCTGCGGGGCCCATGAGCGATGACTTGTTCCTCTGGCAAGCCACCATCATGGGGCCTGAAGACAGCCCCTACCACGGAGGAGTCTTCTTCCTCTCCATCCAGTTTCCCTGTAATTACCCCTTCCGGCCTCCCAAGGTGGCCTTCAAGACCAAGATCTACCATCCCAATGTCAACAGGAAGGGGACCATCTGCCTTGACATCCTGCGGTCTGCGTGGTCCCCGGCGCTGACCATCTCCAAGGTGCTGCTCTCCATCTGCTCTTTGCTGTGCGACCCCAACCCTGATGATCCTCTGGTTCCCGAGATCGCAGCCATCTACCGCATGGACAAGAGAAGGTATGAGAGCACGGCCCGGAAGTGGACCGAGAAATACGCCATGTGAATTCAGCTGCAGAATGCACTGAGAAATAGTACATGCCATATGAATTCACCTACAGAGTGCATGGAGAAATAGGACATCGGCCCTCCTGGCTGACCGAGTTCAGTAGAGAAAACTCCACAGCTGCAACAGCGATAGCAATGATAATAAAAAACCAAACAAAATAAAACAAAGTTGTCAGTTCAAGTTAATCGGTTGTCTTTTGCTGCTTTTTTTCTGTAAAGGCAGGTCCTCTCCACCCTCTCAGCACACCTTGCATACCTTTCAAATTGAGGCTAATGGGGAGAGGGAAGGACTGGGGAGGGAAGAAATGGCTGGTGAAGAGGAGGGAGGGAGAAAGGGCAAGAGAACAGGGAAGAGAGGACAAGGAGGGAGGTTTGGGGAGTTCAACTAATTGGTTGCCTTTTGATTGATTTGTATAAAGGGAGGCCCTTTCTGCTCTTCCTGGCACACCATGTACACCTCTTATGTTGAGGGGAGGGAGTAGGGAAGAGAGGAGGGAGGGAAGAAAGGGAAGACTGTGTAGAATATGAGAATGTGGTGGGGGAAGGAGTAGGGTGGGAGAGAGTGGGGAGAGAGAGAAAGGTGTACAACTCCAGAATTGACTGAGAAATAAGCCATGTGACTTCTAACCAAAATTTCATCACTGTAATTACGGTGATAATAAAAAGTTGGTAGATTACTTTCTGTAAAAGTAGGCCCCCTCCACACCTTTACCACTGGGTAAACCTCTTAAGCTTTTCATACTGAGGCTAAAGTGTGACAAAGGGGGAGAAAGGACCAGTGAAGGAGAGGGGAGTGGGGATGGGGGGTGGAAGAAGGGAGGGAGTAGAAGAGGAGAGAGAACAAGGAAAAAGGAGGGGAGAGGGAGGAGAGGAGGAGGGAAAAGAAACTTGTGGAATATGAGATGGGAAAATGGAGGATGAAGGAGATGGGAGGGAGGAAGGACACTTTGGGGAGGGAGTAGGTAGGAAGAGGGCTGAGAGTAAGGATGAGGAGGTGGAGAAAATATGAGAGCACAGCTAGAGTGTGGTTGGAGAAATATGCCATGTGATTTTCAAAATAAAATTCCATCACAGCAATAGCCAGTGGGGGGAGGGGAGGAGAGTGGTCTAAATACCTGAGAGGAGAGGGTGGGGAACTGAGATTTTGGGAGTATGAGCTGGGAGTAGGATGGGGAGAAGAGATGGGAGGGTGGTGGAAGGAAAGAGATTACAGATCTGTTTACCATACCCAGCCCCCATGGGAAAACTCTTAATGTGGAGAACTCTAGAACTGACAGCTGTTAGGGCAAGCTGACTGAAAATTACAAAGCTTATTAGGCATTCATTTTATTCTGAGGAAACTATGTTTTCACATGCTTTGATTTTAAACACAAACTATATTAAGACATACCCTCTATTTTGAGGTCCAGATTTAACTGGCCAGAAATTAAGTGGATTAGGAGTTGGTACAAATAAAATGAATATTTCCCTGTTTTCTATACCTCCCACCATTTTGTCCTCTCTGCTGCATTCCCACCTTGTAGCTCTCCTTTGTCTTGCATGCACAAGACCCATGGACATGGACGGTTTGAAATTTCAGCCAGTTTGCAAACCTCCAAATTTAGCAAGTCACAGTTTTGGTTGAAGGCTAGCAGCAGAATGCCAGAATTTCCTGGGATACAGACAAAGGCCTTTATTGGTCATGGCACAGCAGGCAGCCTGAGCTTCACTGATGGTAGTTCCCTTTGTCCCCCAAACCCCAAAGGGGCCACGTGATACAGACTAAGTGGATGCTGCACCCCCCATGAGTTTGCAACACAGCTCAGCAAACAAGGTCTTTGAAGGGAGGGCAGGCAAGCCTAACCAACCTTTGTCCCACAGGAAGACATTCTTATTAACTGGTCAGGAAACAACAATACCTTCTGGGCCTGGGTATGTCTTCCAAGACTGTTTGCTATATATTTAATATGATATGGAATTTTTAATAACTTTACTTACCTATTCCAATACAAATTTTGTATTTATTTTCAGTATCTGTTTACATTCTAACACTAAAAAATCATTATTAAATAAAGATCAATAAGTACATCTGTAAGAAAATTTACAATATTTTTAAACTTAAAAATTGATAGTTCAAAGTAAATGCTGTCAAAAGGTATGTAGAAATATCATGGAAAATTGCACTCTGACACTTTTAACTGATTGGATCTATCTGGTTGTACAGGTAAAAATAAATTTTGTGAAAATATTGGTGTGTGTAGAAAAAAGCCAATTCCTCCATTAGTTGTATTATACTCATAGATAGCTCATCAGTATATGACGAAGATTACTGCTGTCAATACACTTAAAACATTCAATACAATACATTGTCTAATTTTAGTACCTTAAGAATAGTAATTTTAACACAAGAAAAAGAGGGTACCAATCATTGCTCAGCAGGGAAAATATATGCTTAGTTTCCTACTGCTTTCATGCATACTTAAAATAATTTGTTTGGCTCCTGATAGTGTTGACATTACATTTTCAATGTGTCAGATTTTCTACAAGGCAGAGAACAGAAAAAGAACAAAAAGCATAGAAAAACTAATTCCAACTTTAATATACTACTTTGTAAATTGCTTCGGTTTCTCACTTGAGTTCAGAAAACACTTAACTTCTAATTGAGATTTTTTTCTTTTTAAACTTGCTTTTGGCGCGTAAACTCCCTGTATAGCTATCCTTATCTCAAGTAGCAAAAACCCTTGGTCCTTCTTATTGCTTATACTCTCTCTTAAACAAAATTAGAGATAAGGGCAAAATAGTTTCTGCCTGGTAGCAAGGGGGTGGAGGGGAGAGGGAGGGGGCAGAGGGAAGGGTGGAGAAATGACCCAAACATTGTATGCACACATAAATAAAAGAAAAAAAAATAAAGGCTTTGCACTTGGTAGGCAGGTGACAGACTGCTTGAAAAAAAAATTTTAAAAAACTAACTTGCTTTTGGAAATGTAAATTTAAATTAGTGTCTCGCTTATAACTCAGCCTTTTAAAGGGATCATGCAGTAATTACAGTTTTGTAAAGATAAGAAAATATCAATTGTTTGAGTTTTAAAAAATATTCAATAAGACAAACAGTAAATATATGATGGAAAAAGTGTGAATTATATGTCAAAGATTTCAGCCCCTAAAACATGAAATTACACTTTTTCCACACATTAAGACAATATTGCCTAACAGAATTTTCTGCAATAATGGAAATATTCTGTGCAGCCATTGATCACTTGAAATTTAAAGAGGGAAAGAGAATTCTTGTTTTATCTAGTTTTTACTAAAAGCTTTTTTAGTGCCTGGTTTGTAAGCAAGTACTTTTAAATTTTTGCTTTTTATTTTGTTTCAGGCTACTTGCAAATTTTAATAAAATCTTTACATTATGCTATGTGACTGTAAAAGCTGATCAAAATCCCTGTATGTAATACTAAAGATCATTAATTTAATAGAGAACCATGTGAAGAATGTGTTTAATATTTGTAGAGGGTTAAAACATTACCAGTTAAGAAATTCTAATTCAAGAATTTAAATATCTTAATCTATTCCCAAGAAGGAAACAGAAATTTATGCAGTAAAGATTATATATGTAGGTCATCAATAATAATAGCCAGAATTTTCAGAATTAAGTGATTGGTATTATGGTTTTCTTGTTATAGGACTATATTCGCAATTATTTATTATGTTTTCTTTAAGACAGTCAAGGTGACCATATCAGGATGGCAATTCTGTTTAGAATATGCAATGATCCTTTTTATTCAAACTGGTCACTTCTATCTTGCTCTGTTTGTACCTACCCACCAGTTCCTTAAATTTCATTGAAAGGAATTATGAAAAAATAAAATTGGTATTTGGATTAGTGGAGACAGAGAGGGTCATGTTCTGTTAGTATTTTCAGAAGCAGAATGAGCCAAGTTGAGGAAAAGATTGTATTCTAGGCATCAAAAGATACAGCTTTTGCTTAGTGAAAGTTGCTAACAGATGCTCTCTCACAAATCAGCCAATTAAGTTAAGAACTTTCAGCTTACTAGATATTTGGCATATTTTAATTCTATGATTTATGTATATTGGGAATAAGAAATTATGACTGAGTCTTGCTTTTGTAGACATCATCAGGTCAGTTCTAATTCAGCTTGAAAATTGGGCTATAAGCAATGATAATTGGTATTTATTAGTATTTAGCTTCCTAATGTTGGTAATATGGAAAGCTTAGAAAATATGCAACCATCAATTATTTAGTTTTATTTGAACTCATGATTAGAGAAACTTCTTGTATAATTTTATACCTGTCTCAAATCTTTATTTTAATTCTGTTTATTCATGTATTATTACTTAAAAATTCTCCTTAAAGGAACCTATTATTTATGGAACTCTGGCATTTGTTATCAAGGCTTTATCGTTTGAATTTTAATATATCTCTAATGATAGCTAAAAATTGTGTGTTGTATTGGTAAAGATTGTTGGCCCTGGAGCACCGCCACTTACTAGGTATTTTATCTCAGACATATTATTTAACTTCTCTGAACCTGAGTTTCTCATCTGTTAAATGGGAATAATAATGGTTCCTACCTGTTATGATTGATGTGAGTACTAAATGAGAAAGTGTCTTACACATCACAATAACTCAGTTGTTATTGGCTATTATTAATTGCTGCCTTTGTTTTTTCCTTTGTATTTTTTTCAGTTGAGTTGGTCAGATGTTACAGTTAGCATATGGTTCCTACTTTGGAGATGCAGCTGCTAACACCGGTAAGAATTTCAACATTCCAAACATTTGTGCAGTTAAAAATGTGCAGAAACATGATTTAAATATAAACTTAGCATTAATACATTTTTCTATATATGGCATCAAATAAGAACTACAGAAGTTTTACTAACATACATTTAATAAATACAAGAGAATTACTTTTCAAATATATATTAGATAATTACTGAGTAGCATCAAGAGTTTAATTTCTAAAACTAGGCTAAAACTGAGATATTGAAATGAACTAAATA